GGTTGCTTTACTTACCATCCCTTCCTCCTTTTTTAACACCTCCTTGTTTTCCCTTTCTTTTCTCCCTCCCTCCCTTCTCTACTTCCTCCTCTCCTTCCTTCTTCCCTTCCCTTTCTCCTACTCCTGCTTTTCCTCTTCCCCTTCCAATCCTCTCTCCTTCTCTTTCTCTCCCTGTTTATAAGGGCTTTGTGTGGTCAATAGGTGAGGTTATATCAGGTGAGGGTCACATCAGATCAAGGTCTTGTGATGGGTCAGATGTTGATTGTGTGAAGGGAGGGTCTTGTGATGGATCAGGGAAGGGTAACAACTCTTTGCATATTGTGCCTGGTCATTTGTCCTCTGAATGAGAACTTGGGGTCGATCCATTTGCTTGTTTTCTTGGCTATCCATGGCATTCTCAGGATTCTTCTCCAGCACCAATGTTCAAAAGTATCAATGCTTTTCTATACTCCTTGTCCAAAGTCCAAATTTAATTTCCATAAACTCTTACAGTTGCACGGAGGAACCTCATTTTGTAAGTATGGATACATCCTGGCATCTGAATGTGTCTTGTGAGGCCTTCATGGTTTCTCTACCAAGTGCTAGTCTTTGGTATATTACTTCATTGTTGGTTTCTTTACTGGTAATTAATTTTAAAAGGAAGAAGCTACCCAATACTTCAGTATTTTCGCTGTTCATTCTGAGGCTAGTTGCAAGATCTATTGCCCTGGCCTTTTTAATATTTAATTTTAGAATCACTTTTTCACTGTGCTCTTTGACTTTCCTTACTAAAGCTTGCAGATCATTTGCATTAGCAGCTATCAAAGTAGTGTCATTAGCACAGGACAGATTGATGGCATTTCTTCCCTCATTTGTAATAAGTGGTAATGAGCAGAGTACTGTACTAACTTCACTTTCCAGTACAAGAGCTTCCCTTAAGTAGGAAACATTTAAAAGATATTGACAACTTTACAATTCAGTATTCAATGTACCCCTTCCATCTTCATTTTGTCACATTTGAATCAGTTATTATTTGTCCATTAATGTACTTTTTTAAGGATAGAACTTCCTTCTGAGTCCAGAAGTCTTTTTGAAGATTTTTTTTGGTCTATTTTCAATTTCAGTATCTTTATAAATTTATTTATTTACTTGTTTGTATTCTACTTTTATTATTTTTACAAATAACGCAAGGCAGTGGCCCAGTGGTGGGTTTCAAATTTTTTTGGAATCTCTTCTGTAGATGTGGCCTGCTTTCCGGGTCCACTGGTGGAGCCTCTTCTAACCGGTTCAGTAGATTTGACGAACCGGTTCTACCGAATAGGTGCGAACTGGTAGGAACCCACCTCTGATGTACATGTGCATGCATGCACAAAGCAAGCAGGCACATGTGGGACAAACACGTGGGGGGTAACAAAATGTGAAACCTACTGCTGTGTCTTGACCTCTACAGCACGCAAAGTTATACATCGAATAGCCCATATAGAATGCGTAGGAAAGTATCTTTAAAAGTAACTTAAC